TCCGGTCCTCACGCCTCCAGCTCTGACCAAACAGGAACCTACAACAACACCACCCCGGGCCATCGCATGTTACAGAGCTCTTTACTGTGTGTTTCTGGAAACTTTAAAGAGGAAACTTACCTCACTGATACTTTACTAAAGTAAGGTAGAAATACCCAGAGAGTAGAAATATTCCATCACAAGTAAAATGCCTTGCATTCATGATGTTACTCAGTAGAAAAGAGTAACATTTACCCCTCGTTGCTCCAGAGCGTGCGACCTCTGACATGGATAGCAATTGTAAGTCACTTCGGATAAAAGAGTCAGCTAAATGAATAAATGTAAATGTAGAAGTACAGAATATCAAGAGTAAAACTACTCTGTATTCTGTAGAACAACTGTTATATCACTCATATTTATATACCTGGATTGTTATTATTAATTATTAACTTGTGAACAGAATGTTAATGATGAAGCTGTGCCGCTGACCGCAGCTGGATGGTGGGTAGTATAATACTATCTTAGTGCAGCCATGTCGTAAAACTTTTCTGTTCATCAGATAGGAAACAATCTTTAGCTCACCAAGAGCGTCAAACATTTAAACATTAAACACAAGTAAGCATTTAATAAAATACTTTCTTTTTTAAATACTGATTTGTACTTGGAATAAAAAAGTTACAGTGACAGCCTTCAGATAAATATGCTGGCTTTAATCTCGCGGGAGAGCTGTGGGTCTTTTGTTGTTGCATTTGAATTGTTTCCTGAACCACTGGTTTGTGTGTTGTCTATGTTTTTATGCATTCTCTTTCCATATGTTTGTTTTATTCCTTATGCAGCACTTTGTAAACCTTGTTTTTAAAATGTGCAGTAGTTTACATGTGCACTACATCAGAAAATATAATTCCTAGTAGCATTAGCTATATGCTGTAAAATATAAACTGTAGTTGAGTGAGTATAACTGTGACTCCTCTCCGTCACGGCGGCAGCACTGCTACTGAACCCGACAGGAAACAGCAGAAAGAAGAGGAGAGCGCGCCCCTGCTGGACGTTAGCGGTGCTGACATGAAGACCAGAGAGGATCAATGGAGTCAGACTGGAAATAAAACATCATTTCAAGCCTCTGAACTGTAGCCAGGTAAGACCGACTCACCTGTAACACGCAGACACGCCACTGGCCAGAAGAACTAACTGTGACTGCGACGGAGCTAACGTTAGCTTAGCATACAGCTTTAAAAACAGCTGAGCGGAGTTAGCAACAGTTGGCCTGATAGCTGCCGGCTAATGCTAATGCTAACATGAACCGTGTTAATGTCTGTTAAATGACCGAGCTAAGGTTTCATTTAGCTTGTAGCTAGTTAGCTTCCGAGTGTTCATTTGACTGACAGGACGATGCTAATGTTTAGTTAGCTGATTAACGGTAACTGCGCCTCACTAACAGCTACAGTAAGCTAACGCTCTGTTATTACCTGCTCTTTAAACTGGGAGCTAACGCTGCTAGCATTAAATACAGAGCTAATAAAAGCTCGTGAGCTTGTTTTTTTCTGTCTCTGTCTCCTCCAACCTGCGTTAGCTTTGTGCTAAGCTAGGCTAACATCAGCTGACTCTCGGTCGCATGTTTAAACCCAGCAGCACACGAAGGACCCCAGGAACCGGTTTAGTTTAAGTCCCAGACCCGATCAGCTGTTCATCTACAGGTCGTCACAGCGCGTGCAGGTGACTGTTCCTCCAGTGCAGCTGCAGTTTAGCTCCAACTCTATATGAAGTTCGACACATCAGATCCTCCACAGTCCACATCCAGGACCAGATCCAGTCTGTAATTAAACACATTCAATGATGGAACTTTAAATTGGTGTTGTGTAAAGATAAAACTGACTGAGGCCATCAGTCACACTTAAATAACCTTTATTGTTGTTTATACACAGAGAGAACGTCATCATCTGGCTTACAGTGCAGATTAAAGACATAATTATAACTTGATAAATGATCTCTCTAAACAACATTCAATCACATTAGTACATTTAAGAGGAGCAGCCAAACTCTGAGTGACCGATAAGATAAAAAGGCTTCACAGTTCAGTCAAAGCAAACCTGTCAAATCATAGTTTATACTGTAAGCGCTGTGAGACCGTTAATGTTTCTGTGTTACGTCCCTCTGAAATCTGTGGTCTGTAATCTGCTCAGCGGGATTACAGACTGTCATGGAGGTCAGTGTCAACACACACACTCGACATGTATCAGCAGACGCGTCTCTGTTATGGCTTCGTGTGGTTTATAACGTGTTGTTCAGCTCCGGCTGTCGTCCACAGTGACTTTAAATCTGTCGGCTGGTGTGGCTACAAGACAGAAACAGGAAGCATCAATATACTCAACTGTTAAAATATATATTATATATATAGATATATATATATATTATATTAGATATAATTATATATATTATATTATATTAATTATAATATATGTGTGTGTGTATAAAGTGAGTACACCCCTCACATTTTTGTCAATATTTGATTATATCTTTTTGTGACTGGTTAGCTTAGTTGGTAACGCACCGGACTCGTAATCCAAGGGCTGCATGTTTGACTCCTTCTCTCGTCAGTTTTGGGTTTGGTGATGGCCCAGTGGATAAGACACATGCCTTTGGTGTAGACCCGGTTCAATCTCCCACTGTGACCCTGAGCAGACGCTTAACCCCTCGTTGCTCTAGAGGCGTGCGACCTCTGACATGTACAGCAGCTGTAAGTCGCTTTGGATAAAAGCGTCGACTAAATGAAGAGTGTAATGTTATGTAATCTTTTCATGTCACCACACTGAAGACATTTTCATTTAGGGGTGTCCTCACTTTTGTTGCCACGTTTAGACATTAATGGCTGTGTGATGTGTTATTTTGAGGGGACAGCAGATTTACACTGTTGTACAAGCTGCACGCTCGCTACTTTACGCTGTTGTACAAGCTGCACGCTCGCTACTTTACGCTGTTCTACAAGCTGCACGCTCACTACTTTACGCTGTTATACAAGCTGTACGCTCGCTACTTTACGCTGTTGTACAATCTGCACGCTCGCTACTTTACGCTGTTGTACAAGCTGTACGCTCGCTACTTTACGCTGTTGTACAAGCTGCACGCTCGCTACTTTACGCTGTTCTACAAGCTGCACGCTCACTACTTTACGCTGTTATACAAGCTGCACGCTCACTACTTTACGCTGTTGTACAATCTGCACGCTCGCTACTTTACGCTGTTCTACAAGCTGCACGCTCACTACTTTACGCTGTTATACAAGCTGCACGCTCACTACTTTACGCTGTTGTACAATCTGCACGCTCGCTACTTTACGCTGTTGTACAAGCTGCACGCTCGCTACTTTACGCTGTTCTACAAGCTGCACGCTCACTACTTTACGCTGTTGTACAAGCTGCACGCTCGCTACTTACGCTGTTGTACAAGCTGCACGCTCGCTACTTTACGCTGGAGCAAGGTCATTTCTTCAGTGTTGAAACATGAAAAGATAGAATCAGATATTACACAGAGTGAGGCTGGACCACTTTAGGAGATACTGTGCACACACACATTGTTCACTGTGTCCCTCTTTCTTCTTTCTCTGAGCTTGGAACATCTGTGGACTGATTAAGGTTTTTGACGGCCGTATATAACGCATAGTCAGAACAACTTCTGCAGGATCTGATCTCCATATTGTCTCAGCAGTAACGTGTTCCAGATGTTTTGTTTAATGGATGAAACAGAACTTTGGGTTCTGCTGTAGCGATCAAGCGCGGCTGCTTATTTTGTCCAGCTAACAGTCCACAACCCAAAGACTTCATTTACTGTCCTAAATGACAAAGAACAGCAGCAAATCCTCACATTTAAAAGATTAAACAAGCATTTTCCACATTTTTGCTTTAAAATGACGATTAATTGATTTATCAAAATAGTTCATCGATTAATTTTCTTGCTATCGATTAATCGACTTGTTGCAGTTCTATTCCTGATCATCTCCTGGGTTCAGGTATCAGACTGATCAGCTGATTAGTCTGCTGACGCTCTGCTGGTGTGTGACCTCTTTATGATTTTGGGTCATCACATGAAGCATCATGGGAAACTGTCTGGACACTGTGTCGGGTGCACGAGCGCTGGAGCCGCGAGTGAACTTGAAACACGTGAAACATCAACCACAGAAGCTGTAGACACGTTGCTTCGTTCGTCACTTTACTAGTTCGGTCAGTGAAAAGACAGTTTGATGCAGAAGCGATCTTTTTTTACACCTGCTGCTGATTGGGTAACACTTCTGATGGCAATCGAGACAAACGTACGTCAGCGTCTTGTTCTTCTTCCTTTGTTTTATAGAGATCGCATATTATTGTACGGCACCTTCCTGTGGGTCCTTTATCTCAAGGTTGCACTTCCTTCCTGCCTGACTTATCTTTGGATGTAGCGCCATCCTCTATTTCCCACCATGTAACAGATCAGGTTCTACATTTTCTGTGGATTTAAATTCCAAACATTCATCTGATTGACTGTTGCCCATTAAAAACAATGTTTTATTGATCAAACCTCAGCTTGGTTAAAACCACAGATAAGACATGGACGTAGTCATGGCGACGTCACCCGTTGGTTTTGTGACCGCCGGTATCGATGACCCGGGCCAACGACCCCACTGAGGTTAAATAGCTGAGTTTCCCTGCCAGTCAGTCAGAACTGAAGAAGTCCTTTGGATGAGGGACGAAACGTCTTCCAGTATCTTAAAACCAAGTCCAGCTGCCCTTGACTTTGACAAGTCTCTACCATCCAAAGAAGGTCAATCAGCTTGTAGCTCCGCCCTAAAGCCTCTCCTACTTCCTGGTCTCTGTTCCTCTAAATGGGACCATAATTTACTAAAAGCGCCTCTCGAACACGCCGACCTCGGTGTGGGCAACGATCGATTTCTTAGTGATTAATTATTTTTTCCATTATTGTTACTTTGTCTATAAAAGTGAATTGTGACCTCTGACGACCTCTGACCCTTTTCTCCACCTGTGTTTCAGTGGAGGAGGGCGGAGCTTCCCAGCAGCCATGATGGAGGACACTGAGCCGGATCTTTCTCCCACCCCCTCTGATCAGAACAGCCCCTCCCTCTCCCTCTCCTCCTCCCCTCCCTGTCCCTCCCCTCCACGCCCTCGTCCTCCTGTGGCGCCCCCCCGGCCGTCACGCCTCCTCTGGGGGTCATCAGCGAGGGCGTCGGGGAGCTCAGCCTGGTGATCGACGCCGAGGTGGCTCACCGGGCGTGTCAGGAAGTCCTGCAGAAGGTCAAGCTGACGCAGGTGGACAGTGATGTCGCCGGCCTACAGAACGGGGAGGGGCCTGACCCGCAGCCCGCCGCCACGGTGAGACCGATAAAGATCCGCGAGAAGGAGCGGGAGCCCGAGGGCCCGGCTCCCGGCTCGGTGAAGAGCGCCCGGCAGCGGCAGAGACACAACCCCTCCAAACAGTCGTGGTTGCTCCGCCTCTTTGAGTCCAAGCTGTTCGACGTCTCCATGGCGATCTCCTACCTGCACAACTCGAAGGAGCCCGGCGTCCAGGCGTACATCGGGAACCGGCTCTTCAGCTTCCCGCACGAGGAGGTGGACTTCTACCTGCCGCAGCTGCTCAACATGTACATCCACATGGACGAGGACGTCGGGGACGCCATCAAGCCATACGTGGTGGGTGTGGCCTGGGCAGGGGGCGTGGCTAAACAGCACATTATCACACCTGCGTCCAGCTTTGAATCTGCTCAGTTTACTCAGTTGGTTGACTCACTGATCACCGTTACAGCGACCTCTTCGATGATAAGATGCAGCGTAACGCCGCTCAGACCAGAGCGCCACGTTTGAATCATTAACCGCAGCGCGCAGGTGTTAATCTCTGAATATCTAAACCTCACGAGCTGCAGGTTTCTGAAACGGAGACGTGTGTAATAATCAGTAAGCCTGCAGATCTTGTTGACGTCGGGGATCCGGCTGTTTGGTGAAGGTTCTCTCTGAAAGCAGCTCGTTCACGTTGAGATGTGAAAAAGTTGGTTGCTGACATTAAGACAATATATTTCTGTGTGACAGGTTTTCTGAAATCTTATGTTTAAATATGCAAATGAGGCAGCATCTAATGAATATGCGCTAATTTGCATCTATTTCAGGAACTGAAGTCTGGATTAAGTCGGGTTCAAAATTATTGTTCTATTTTGTTGACACATGAGAGTGAAATGTTTTTCCAGAGGGAGCCTGGATTTCTCTCTTTATATTACTGTAACAGGCTAATAAACAACACGTTTTGAGCTGGTTTTGGGAATAAAATGTTCTCTAGTTCAGGCTGTGAATGCGAGATGGACAAACCTTCAGAATATAGTCAGGAATAAATGAGTTCAGGCTCAGAGGGAAAACTCATTTAAAGACACGTACAGGAAAATTCTACACATTCTTATTAAAAACCAGCCGATATCTGATCACATCCAGAACAACAACAACATAGAACGTAACACATCAGAACGTCCATTGTCTCACATTCTTAAGTGCCTTTAACCCCTGCGTGTCGTCTGCAGGTTCACCGCTGCAGACAGAGCATCTCCTTCAGCCTGCGCTGCGCCTGGCTCCTGGGGGCCTACTCCTCCGACATGCACATCTCCACCCAGCGGCACTCCAGAGGAACCAAACTGAGGAAACTCATCCTGTCCGACGAGCTCAAACCCTCGGGCCCCCGAGCTCGCAGAGAACCTCTGACTCTGACCCCATTCTGTCCCGTCATGTCCCCCGCCAACGGCCCCGGGCCCCTGGGAGGAGAGCACGGCCTGTCGCCCTCCAAACGCACACATCAGCGCTCCAAATCAGACGCCACAGTCAGCATCAGTCTGAGCAGCAACCTGAAGAGAACGGCCAGCAACCCGAAGGTGGAGAGCAGCCAGGACGAGGTAACAGCCAGATCACAGCGCCTGCAGGGGGGTCCCTGGACCTGAACCCAGACCAGAGTCCGAGACGAGACTAAAGCTAAATAAGGGTCATATAGGACCAGATGCTAACAGAGAAGCTAACCGAGCTGCAGTTGGTATGCAGGACGGCCGTCGTGAAAACAAGTTCATCGAGATAAAACGACCATTGTGCCGCACGCCGCTTCGCAGTGACACTAATCGAGCAGTACGTGTACACAGAGTACTTGGAGCGTACATTTCACCATCGTGGCGTTGCCTCAGATCGAACACGGTCACAACATCTGGATTGTAACCGGGCGGATCTTTATCGGCGTTATTTGTTTAATTGACTTCAAATTGATTTTATTAAAATGAATAAACGTGAACGTGCTTTTACGATCGCAACGCGCTGCAGCTTCCTCCGCCGCCATTTTCACAAGTTTGAAAATGAGTCAGAGGTCCCTCCCCTTCTGCAGTTTGATGATAGGGAAAACAAGTACGAGGTGGTTTCCTGCCGGGCTTGGCTCCTGGCGCTGACTCGGCTAATAAAGGACAGCTAGCAGCACGGCTAACCGAGCTAACTAGCCACAGATACAGTTAGCGGTTTAGCAAAAGTAAATGTATCTGTCCATCAACAAACTCTGTAAATCTCCTCGGGGCTGTGTTCCCTGTCGGTCTGTGTTCGGTTCTGTTCCTCCCGTGTTCACTGGGAGGCTGCCGAGCTCTGTGTCGTTGAGCGCTCGCTCGGCTCGGGTTTTTAGGCCCGATCCGGCGCCGCTCTCGGACGTTATCCTAGTCTGGAAACCTCCAGTGCTTAGAGTAGAGGTGTGACGTTAAACGCTGACCCCGCCCAGCTGTGACCACCGGGCTAACTTAGCTAATTAGATACCAGCAGCTAGCAGCACTTTCTGTTCTTCAGCAACCTCCGTAGTTCCCAGAGAGCTGAGGCGGAGCAGCCGGGGAACTTTAATGTTAACAGAGCAGCTGACTGCAGCTCGAGGGCGCGTTCACACTGACACACCGCTGTTAGATCATCAGGTTTAGCTGCAGTCCTGTTGCCCTGCGTCTGGTCTGGAAGGAGCTGAATAAACCAAATCACTTTGATGTCTCTAACATAATGTGGACCTGACCCCCGTCTGACCTCTGACCTCCTCAGGACAGCGGCTCCAGCTCGGACAGTCTGGAGTTGGAGCCTGGTCCCGTAAGTCCACCAGCGTCACGTTTCTCTCTCCAGGGTGCAGTGTGGGAACGAGGCTGTGGGTTCTGGTTCTGGTTCAGGGTGCGGTGGTGTCCCAGACGTTCAGACGCTCAGACAGAAATGAAACCAAACAGCTGAAGCGGCTGCACGTCTGTGGACCTCACCGTCTCTTCCAGTCCTTCTTTATGTTTCTCTGTTGGATCCAATCAGCTGTTTGATGTTGTGGGGGAACCAATCAGGTGCTGATCCGGTGTCATGTCTCCTTATATATTAACACCTGAACAGCCAGTCAGATCAGCTCCTGTAAAGGCAGCAGTCCTGGTGCTGATCGGGGTCCTGCTGCTGGCGGCTGCAGGTAACAGCGTCATGTTTGTGTGCAGGTTGTCACCTGAGCAGGTAAACGCCGTCATGATGCTGCTTCTCTCTCCTCTCGGCTATAAACTGAAGTAGCACTCCATTAATAAGGGGAAGCGGTTTAAACGAGACCTGTGGATGTCAGACCTCCACCTGCTCAAATGTCTCAGCAGTCCTCTAACGCCCCCCGTCTCTCTTGCAGCCGGTGCGTCTGGCGCCTCAGAGGGAGTTTATTAAGTCTCTGATGGGGATCGGGAAGCGTTTGGCCACGCTGCCCACCAAAGAGCAGAAGACCCAGCGGCTGATCTCAGAACTGTCGCTGCTCAACCACAAGCTGCCGGCCCGGGTCTGGCTGCCCACCGCCGCCTTCGACCACCATGTGGTCCGAGTGCCGCACACACAGGCCGTGGTGTTAAACTCCAAAGACAAGGTGACCAGCACGCACGCACACACGCACTCTGTATGTACACTGAGGTCAACAATCAGCTGCTCTTGGATGTCCCGAGATCAGAGCTAAAGAATAAGGGCGATGGAGCCTTTGGGCGCCCCGTCCCATGGAACAGCCTCCTCAGGCATAATAAGCTGCACAGACCCTACAAACGTTTAAAGCTGCTTAAGACTTTTTGCAGCAGCTTTTAACCTTCGTTGACCTGGTTTCTGTTGTGTCTGTTGTTTCTGTCCTGTGATTCACTTTGGCTCATTTTATTATTTATGTTTGACATCGACCCTTTTCAGCACTTTGCTCAACTGTTGTTGTTTTTAAATGTGCCATAGAAATAAAATTGACATACTGTCCAAGCCAAACACGGTTGAACAGAAGTGGGCGGGGCCACTGTGGCATTCCCCGTTGGTTTGTGGACTCTCGTTCTGAAGCCTCCAGTTTGGCTTTTGACTGTCGCCATCTTTTTTGGAACTGGATTTGACCATATTTGGACGAGAGGGTGGAGCTAGCTAGCTTGGTTAGCAAGGTGCATCTGTAGTTCAACTGTGCTTAGCTGTGGTGCTAATTTTAGCTAGCAACAAACAGGCTTAAAACAAAACGCACTTCCTGAAAAAATGAGCAGCTGGGTGATACGAGTCGCCTCTATCCTTATCAAGTTGAAGACTTGAGACCATAAACTCATCAGGAAAGTGTTTACTGAGGGAATAAATCAGCTGAGAAGTAGAAACATTTTCTCACAGACTTCTATACAATCACACTTCTTTCTGCAGCCGCTGGAGTCGCCCCCTGCTGGCTGCTAGAGAGGACGCAGGTTTAAGTCGCCCCCTGCTGGCTGCTAGAGAGGACGCAGGTTTAAGTCGCCCCCTGCTGGCTGCTAGAGAGGACGCAGGTTTAAGTCGCCCCCTGCTGGCTGCTAGAGAGGACGCAGGTTTAAGTCGCCCCCTGCTGGCTGCTAGAGAGGACGCAGGTTTAAGTCGCCCCCTGCTGGTTGCTAGAGAGGACGCAGGTTTAAGTCGCCCCCTGCTGGCCGCTAGAGAGGACGCAGGTTTAAGTCGCCCCCTGCTGGCCGCTAGAGAGGACGCAGGTTTAAGTCGCCCCCTGCTGGCTGTTAGAGAGGACGCAGGTTTAAGTCGCCCCCTGCTGGCTGCTAGAGAGGACGCAGGTTTAAGTCGCCCCCTGCTGGCCGCTAGAGAGGACGCAGGTTTAAGTCGCCCCCTGCTGGCTGCTAGAGAGGACGCAGGTTTAAGTCGCCCCCTGCTGGCTGCTAGAGAGGACGCAGGTTTAAGTCGCCCCCTGCTGGCTGCTAGAGAGGACGCAGGTTTAAGTCGCCCCCTGCTGGCTGCTAGAGAGGACGCAGGTTTAAGTCGCCCCCTGCTGGCTGCTAGAGAGGACGCAGGTTTAAGTCGCCCCTGCTGGTTGCTAGAGAGGACGCAGGTTTAAGTCGCCCCCTGCTGGCCGCTAGAGAGGACGCAGGTTTAAGTCGCCCCCTGCTGGCCGCTAGAGAGGACGCAGGTTTAAGTCGCCCCCTGCTGGCCGTTAGAGAGGACGCAGGTTTAAGTCGCCCCCTGCTGGCTGCTAGAGAGGACGCAGGTTTAAGTCGCCCCCTGCTGGCTGCTAGAGAGGACGCAGGTTTAAGTCGCCCCCTGCTGGCTGCTAGAGAGGACGCAGGTTTAAGTCGCCCCCTGCTGGCTGCTAGAGAGGACGCAGGTTTAAGTCGCCCCCTGCTGGCCGCTGGAGAGGACGCAGGTTTAAGTCGCCCCCTGCTGGCCGCTAGAGAGGACGCAGGTTTAAGTCGCCCCCTGCTGGCTGCTGGAGAGGACGCAGGTTTAAGTCGCCCCCTGCTGGCTGCTGGAGAGGACGCAGGTTTAAGTCGCCCCCTGCTGGCTGCTGGAGAGGACGCAGGTTTAAGTCGCCCCCTGCTGGCCGCTAGAGAGGACGCAGGTTTAAGTCGCCCCCTGCTGGCCGCTAGAGAGGACGCAGGTTTAAGTCGCCCCCTGCTGGCTGCAGGAGAGGACGTAGGTTTAAGTCGCCCCCTGCTGGCTGCAGGAGAGGACGTAGGTTTAAGTCGCCCCCTGCTGGCCGCTAGAGAGGACGTAGGTTTAAGTCGCCCCCTGCTGGCCGCTAGAGAGGACGCAGGTTTAAGTCGCCCCCTGCTGGCCGCTAGAGAGGATGCAGGTTTAAGTCGCCCCCTGCTGGCTGCAGGAGAGGACGCAGGTTTAAGTCGCCCCCTGCTGGCTGCTGGAGAGGACGCAGGTTTAAGGTGCTTCACTTTTCAGACCTGGAGGTTCCTGCTTGGTTTAAACACACGTGATGTCAGAAATAAACGCTGTCATACGCTGAAGTTAAGACTTGAACACACGCGTGTGATCTACCTGTTCCTCAGGTGTCAGACTGGGAGGGGTTTGTAGGTAAGATGGCGGCCTGACTCCGTGTAAAGGTGCCAACAAACAGAGAGCTTTAAGTTCAGTCGTCTTGATTCGATGAGCTGAATGAGGTCATGTGACAGGAGAGAGTTTTACCTGGAGACCGGGCAGTGGGGACAGGAACTGTTTTCTGAACACAAGTTTGTGTTCAGTTCAGACTTTTCTCTTCAAGCTTCAAACACAAATTATATTTGATTATATTATGACATCCAATCCAAATCCAGATATTCTTATGACCTCACACACAGCTGTGACACGATGACCTCGGCCTGTCATGTGACCTGTGTCCTGTGACCCCTCAGGCTCCGTACCTGATCTACGTGGAGGTTCTGGAGTGTGAGAACTTTGAGACGTCCAGCGTTCCGATGCGGATCCCGGAGAACCGGATCAGGAGCACCCGTTCTGTGGAGAACCTGCCGGACTGCGGCATGACGGCGGAGCAGAGAGCCGGCAGCTTCTCCACGGTCCCAAACTACGACAACGACGACGAGGCCTGGTCTGTGGACGACATCGGAGAGCTGCAGGTGGAGGTGAGAGGCCGGTCGGACAGGATGTGATGTCATCGGTATTACAGGACGTTCACTGAATCTGCTTCAATAATATGAAGGAATATTGTGATAAGTGGCTCTTATGCAGCATTCAGACCAAACGCGAATTTAACCCTCGCGCTGAAATAACTACAACATGAATTTATTTATTTATTTATTTTTTAATTATTGAATGAATTTTGTTGTCTTCAGCTCCCAGAGATCCACACCAACAGCTGCGATAACATCAGTCAGTTCTCAGTGGACAGTATCACCAGCCTGGAGAGCAAAGAGCCGGTGTTCATCGCTGCTGGAGACATCAGGTCAGTACACACTGTACACAGTACATGTAGTACAGACCACAGTACATGTAGTACAGACCACAGTACATGTAGTACACACACAGTACATGTAGTACAGACCACAGTACATGTAGTACAGACCACAGTACATGTAGTACAGACCACAGTACATGTAGTACAGACCACAGTACATGTAGTACACACACAGTACATGTAGTACAGACCACAGTACATGTAGTACACACACAGTACATGTAGTACACACACAGTACATGTAGTACAGACCACAGTACATGTAGTACAGACCACAGTACATGTAGTACACACACAGTACATGTAGTACAGACCACAGTACATGTAGTACACACACAGTACATGTAGTACAGACCACAGTACATGTAGTACAGACCACAGTACATGTAGTACAGACCACAGTACATGTAGTACAGACCACAGTACATGTAGTACAGACCACAGTACATGTAGTACACACACAGTACATGTAGTACAGACCACAGTACATGTAGTACACACACAGTACATGTAGTACAGACCACAGTACATGTAGTACAGACCACAGTACATGTAGTACAGACCACAGTACATGTAGTACACACACAGTACATGTAGTACAGACCACAGTACATGTAGTACAGACCACAGTACATGTAGTACACACACAGTACATGTAGTACACACCTCCTGTTGGAGGTTAGCCAGTAATGTTCACACACATTCGGAGTTGATCAAATAGTTCAGTTTTCTGTTCCACAGCACCGACTGACGTTTTGATTCTAAAACCTGAAAAAGAATCTGGCTACTGGCTCGATGAGGATCTGAGTCCACAGACGGACGTTTCTTTAATCCACAAACGTTACAGCACTCAAACACTTACAGAGGATTTAATCTTTGACGCTCATCAGACTTCCTGTCTGTTTGACCAGCTGTCAGACTCACTAACAGTCGGTGAATCTGATCTACGTGATCAGGATCAGATTCTCAAACGCACCCAGCGACAAAGTCAGTCAGCTTGTAGTATTTTCCGTCAGATTAGTAATGAGTAGAAGAATCTGCGTCTAACCAAACAGTAGGTAACGTGACGCTGTCCTCTGCATGTTTTAGGCGGCGTCTGTCGGAGCAGCTGGCTCAGGCGCCTACCACCTTTAGACGGGACCCCGAGGACCCGTCAGCTGTGGCCCTGAAGGAGCCCTGGGAGGAGAAGGTCCGGTAGGTGGAGCTCAGGGTGTATTTGAAACTGCCTATTTCTGTGTTTCTGACTGTATAATTCCAACGATGTGTTTCTGACTGTATATTTCCAGCCTGTTCTCATCTCAGGGCGTCGTATACCGACCGAAACAGGGGCGTTTCATACGGACGCTGAAGGGTACCTTTAGCATAAAATCCTTACGCTTTGTCACGCTGTCTGAAAGCGTCAGTTATGACGCATTGAGATGAGGATGTGTGAATATCTGTGTGTTTCCGAGGGTGTATTTCTGACTGTATATTTCTGACAATCTGTTTCTGACTGTATATTTCTGACAATCTGTTTCTGACTGTATATTTCTGACAATCTGTTTCTGACTGTATATTTCTGACAATCTGTTTCTGACTGTATATTTCCGACGGTATATTTCCGACGGTATATTTGCGACGGTGTACTAATGACGGTATAATTTTGACTCTATATTTCCAACGGTGTATTACTGACGGTATATTTTTGACGGTGTATTACTGACGATCTGTTTCTCACTGTATATTTCCGAGAGTGTATTTCCGACGGTATATTTCCGACTGTGTATTACTGACGGCATATTTTTGACTATATTTCCAACGGTGTATTACTGACGGTATATTTCCGACGGTGTATTACTGACGGCATATTTTTGACTCTATATTTCCAACGGTATATTTCCGACGGTGTATTACTGATGGCATATTTTTGACTCTATATTTCCGACGGTGTATTACTGACGGCATATTTTTGACTCTATATTTCCACCGGTGTATTACTGACGGCATATTTTTGACGGTGTATTACTGACTGTATATTTCAGACAGTATATTTCCAACGGTGGATTTCTGACTGCTCTGTGTTTACCTGTAGGAGGATCAGAGAAGGATCTCCTTATGGTCACCTTCCTAACTGGAGGCTGCTGTCTGTTATCGTTAAATGTGGAGATGACCTGAGACAGGAGCTGCTCGCCTTCCAGGTGCTGCAGCAGCTCAAGGTAACCCCGTGACATCACTACTGACTGAGAACTACTGACCAAAATCAGCTCTGCGCTCTTTTACCCTTTCTCCTCTTCCCCATCTTCCTCTTCCTTCAAACCTCTCCTCTCTTCTTCTCTTCCTCTACTTATCTCCACCCTCCTCCTCGTCATCATAATCCTGCTCTTTTTCTTCTTCTGTGTATCCATTTTCCTTCTGTTCTTCTACCTCCTCACTTCCACCTCCTCATCTCAAATCCCTCCTTCACTGCTCTTTTTTTCTCCTTCCTCATGTTTCTCCCTTTCCCTCCTCCTAGTCCTTCCTCCTTCGGCTTCTCGTTGCAAAGCTTCAATTCAAAGGAAATAAAAGTAGAACTGGAAGTGACTGTTGAGAAAAAGTGAACAACAGAGGCTACACCTCAGTGTTACCTCCTGGTGACTGTTGCAATATGAAAAAGGGTAAGAAAGGTGAAGCAGCTGAGACTGTAGAGCAAGTTGAGTTCAGGTGTGACTCCTGTCTCAGCACAGAGTTACTGCTGAAAAGACAACATTGAGATCAAATACAGCTAAATGGATCAGGTGTTCTTCATGTAAAATCCTTGTCCCCCCCCCTGCAGTCTATCTGGGAGCAGGAGCGCGTCCCCCTCTGGATAAAGCCCTATAAGATCCTTGTGCTGTCGTCGGACAGCGGGATGATTGAGCCCGTGATGAACGCCGTTTCCCTCCATCAGGTGAAGAAGCAGAGCCAGCTGTCTCTGCTGGACTACTTCCTGCAGGAGCACGGTGCTCCGACCACCGAGGCCTTCCTGTCTGCTCAGCGGAACTTTGTCCAGAGCTGCGCCGGGTACAGCCTCATCTGTTACCTGCTGCAGGTCAAAGACAGGTGAGAGGATGACATCACGTGGTCTCAGCTCCGCCTGCTCACACACCGTTCCTGTTAGCCCTCTCATGTTGTGACCTGTCCTTTCAGGCACAACGGGAACATCCTATTGGATGCTGAGGGTCACATCATCCACATTGACTTCGGCTTCATCCTGTCCAGTTCTCCCAAGAACCTCGGCTTCGAAACATCGGCCTTCAAACTTACCACGGAGTTTGTTGATGTGAGTTCATCTGAAGGTTCTTGTGTTCCTATAGGAAGTTCTAGTGGCAACTGAAGAGGTTCTAGTGTTCCTGTAGGAGGTTCTAGTGGCCATCTAGGACGTTCTAGTGTTCCTGTAGGAGGTTCTAGTGGCCATCGAGGAGGTTCTAGTTTTCCTGTAGGAGGTTCTAGTGGTCATTTAGGAAGTTCTAGCGGTCATCAGTGACTTTCTAGTGTTCATGTAGGAGGTTGTACTGGCCATCGAGGAGGTTCTAGTGTTCCTGTAGGAGGTTCTAGTGGCCATCGAGGACGTTCTCGTGTTCCTGTAGGAGGTTCTAGTGGTCATCGAGGGCGTTCTCGTGTTCCTGTAGGAAGTTGTAGCGGCCATCGAGGGCGTTCTCGTGTTCATGTAGGAAGTTGTAGCGGCCATCGAGGACGTTCTCGTGTTCCTGTAGGAAGTTGTAGCGGCCATCGAGGGCGTTCTCGTGTTCCTGTAGGAAGTTGTAGCGGCCATCGAGGGCGTTCTCGTGTTCCTGTAGGAAGTTGTAGCGGCCATCGAGGGCGTTCTCGTGTTCCTGTAGGAAGTTGTAGCGGCCATCGAGGGCGTTCTCGTGTTCCTGTAGGAAGTTGTAGCGGCCATCGAGGACGTTCTCGTGTTCCTGTAGGAGGTTCTAGTGGTCATCGAGGGCGTTCTCGTGTTCCTGTAGGAAGTTGTAGCGGCCATCGAGGGCGTTCTCGTGTTCATGTAGGAAGTTGTAGCGGCCATCGAGGACGTTCTCGTGTTCCTGTAGGAAGTTGTAGCGGCCATCGAGGGCGTTCTCGTGTTCCTGTAGGAAGTTGTAGCGGCCATCGAGGACGTTCTCGTGTTCCTGTTGGAAGTTGTAGCGGCCATCGAGGGCGTTCTCGTGTTCCTGTAGGAAGTTGTAGCGGCCATCGAGGACGTTCTCGTGTTCCTGTAGGAGGTTCTAGTGGTCATCGAGGGCGTTCTCGTGTTCCTGTAGGAAGTTGTAGCGGCCATCGAGGGCGTTCTCGTGTTCATGTAGGAAGTTGTAGCGGCCATCGAGGACGTTCTCGTGTTCCTGTAGGAAGTTGTAGCGGCCATCGAGGGCGTTCTCGTGTTCCTGTAGGAAGTTGTAGCGGCCATCGAGGACGTTCTCGTGTTCCTGTTGGAAGTTGTAGCGGCCATCGAGGACGTTCTCGTGTTCCTGTAGGAAGTTGTAGCGGCCATCGAGGACGTTCTCGTGTTCCTGTCGGAAGTTGTAGCGGCCATCGAGGACGTTCTCGTGTTCCTGTCGGAAGTTGTAGCGGCCATCGAGGACGTTCTCGTGTTCCTGTCGGAAGTTGTAGCGGCCATCGAGGACGTTCTCGTGTTCCTGTCGGAAGTTGTAGCGGCCATCGAGGGCGTTCTCGTGTTCCTGTTGGAAGTTGTAGCGGCCATCGAGGGCGTTCTCGTGTTCCTGTAGGAAGTTGTAGCGGCCATCGAGGGCGTTCTCGTGTTCCTGTAGGAAGTTGTAGCGGCCATCGAGGGCGTTCTCGTGTTCCTGTAGGAAGTTGTAGCGGCCATCGAGGACGTTCTAGTGTTCATGTGCTGTGAGATAACTGTTGTTGTGATTTGGCGCTATATAAATAAAATTGAATTCATGTAGGAGGTTCTAGTGTTCCTGTAGGTGGTTCTAGTGGCAACTGAAGAGGTTCTAGTGTTCCTGTAGGAGGTTCTAGTGGCCATCGAGGAAGTTCTAGTGGCCATCAATGACTTTCTAGTGTTCATGCGCTGTGAGATAACTGTTGTTGTGATTTGGCGCTATATAAATAAAATTGAATTCATGTAGGAGGTTCTAGTGTTCCTGTAGGTGGTTCTAGTGGCAACTGAAGAGGTTCTAGTGTTCCTGTAGGAGGTTCTAGTGGCCATCGAGGAAGTTCTAGTGGCCATCAATGACTTTCTAGTGTTCATGCGCTGTGAGATAACTGTTGTTGTGATTTGGCGCTATATAAATAAAATTGAATTCATGTAGGAGGTTCTAGTGTTCCTGTAGGTGGTTCTAGTGGCAACTGAAGAGGTTCTAGTGTTCCTGTAGGAGGTTCTAGCGGCCAACAATGACTTTCTAGTGTTAAGTGAGATGCGCTGTGAGATAACTGTTGTTGTGATTTGGCGCTATATAAATAAATTTGAATTCATGTAGGAGGTTCTAGTTTTCCTGTAAGAAGTTCTAGCAGCCATCGAGGACTTTCTAGTGTTCCTGTTGGAGGTTCTAGTGGCCATCGAGGAGGTTCTAGTTTTCCTGTAGGAGGTTCTAGTGGTCATTTAGGAAGTTCTAGCGGTCATCAGTGACTTTCTAGTGTTCATGTAGGAGGTTGTACTGGCCATCGAGGAGGTTCTAGTGTTCCTGTAGGAGGTTCTAGTGGCCATCGAGGACGTTCTCGTGTTCCTGTAGGAGGTTCTAGTGGTCATCGAGGGCGTTCTCGTGTTCCTGTAGGAAGTTGTAGCGGCCATCGAGGGCGTTCTCGTGTTCATGTAGGAAGTTGTAGCGGCCATCGAGGACGTTCTCGTGTTCCTGTAGGAAGTTGTAGCGGCCATCGAGGGCGTTCTCGTGTTCCTGTAGGAAGTTGTAGCGGCCATCGAGGGCGTTCTCGTGTTCCTGTAGGAAGTTGTAGCGGCCATCGAGGGCGTTCTCGTGTTCCTGTAGGAAGTTGTAGCGGCCATCGAGGGCGTTCTCGTGTTCCTGTAGGAAGTTGTAGCGGCCATCGAGGACGTTCTCGTGTTCCTGTAGGAGGTTCTAGTGGTCATCGAGGGCGTTCTCGTGTTCCTGTAGGAAGTTGTAGCGGCCATCGAGGGCGTTCTCGTGTTCCTGTAGGAAGTTGTAGCGGCCATCGAGGACGTTCTCGTGTTCCTGTAGGAAGTTGTAGCGGCCATCGAGGGCGTTCTCGTGTTCCTGTAGGAAGTTGTAGCGGCCATCGAGGGCGTTCTCGTGTTCCTGTAGGAAGTTGTAGCGGCCATCGAGGACGTTCTCGTGTTCCTGTAGGAGGTTCTAGTGGTCATCGAGGGCGTTCTCGTGTTCCTGTAGGAAGTTGTAGCGGCCATCGAGGGCGTTCTCGTGTTCATGTAGGAAGTTGTAGCGGCCATCGAGGACGTTCTCGTGTTCCTGTAGGAAGTTGTAGCGGCCATCGAGGGCGTTCTCGTGTTCCTGTAGGAAGTTGTAGCGGCCATCGAGGACGTTCTCGTGTTCCTGTTGGAAGTTGTAGCGGCCATCGAGGGCGTTCTCGTGTTCCTGTAGGAAGTTGTAGCGGCCATCGAGGACGTTCTCGTGTTCCTGTAGGAGGTTCTAGTGGTCATCGAGGGCGTTCTCGTGTTCCTGTAGGAAGTTGTAGCGGCCATCGAGGGCGTTCTCGTGTTCATGTAGGAAGTTGTAGCGGCCATCGAGGACGTTCTCGTGTTCCTGTAGGAAGTTGTAGCGGCCATCGAGGGCGTTCTCGTGTTCCTGTAGGAAGTTGTAGCGGCCATCGAGGACGTTCTCGTGTTCCTGTTGGAAGTTGTAGCGGCCATCGAGGACGTTCTCGTGTTCCTGTAGGAAGTTGTAGCGGCCATCGAGGACGTTCTCGTGTTCCTGTCGGAAGTTGTAGCGGCCATCGAGGACGTTCTCGTGTTCCTGTCGGAAGTTGTAGCGGCCATCGAGGACGTTCTCGTGTTCCTGTCGGAAGTTGTAGCGGCCATCGAGGACGTTCTCGTGTTCCTGTCGGAAGTTGTAGCGGCCATCGAGGGCGTTCTCGTGTTCCTGTTGGAAGTTGTAGCGGCCATCGAGGGCGTTCTCGTGTTCCTGTAGGAAGTTGTAGCGGCCATCGAGGGCGTTCTCGTGTTCCTGTAGGAAGTTGTAGCGGCCATCGAGGGCGTTCTCGTGTTCCTGTAGGAAGTTGTAGCGGCCATCGAGGACGTTCTAGTGTTCATGTGCTGTGAGATAACTGTTGTTGTGATTTGGCGCTATATAAATAAAATTGAATTCATGTAGGAGGTTCTAGTGTTCCTGTAGGTGGTTCTAGTGGCAACTGAAGAGGTTCTAGTGTTCCTGTAGGAGGTTCTAGTGGCCATCGAGGAAGTTCTAGTGGCCATCAATGACTTTCTAGTGTTCATGCGCTGTGAGATAACTGTTGTTGTGATTTGGCGCTATATAAATAAAATTGAATTCATGTAGGAGGTTCTAGTGTTCCTGTAGGTGGTTCTAGTGGCAACTGAAGAGGTTCTAGTGTTCCTGTAGGAGGTTCTAGTGGCCATCGAGGAAGTTCTAGTGGCCATCAATGACTTTCTAGTGTTCATGCGCTGTGAGATAACTGTTGTTGTGATTTGGCGCTATATAAATAAAATTGAATTCATGTAGGAGGTTCTAGTGTTCCTGTAGGTGGTTCTAGTGGCAACTGAAGAGGTTCTAGTGTTCCTGTAGGAGGTTCTAGCGGCCAACAATGACTTTCTAGTGTTAAGTGAGATGCGCTGTGAGATAACTGTTGTTGTGATTTGGCGCTATATAAATAAATTTGAATTCATGTAGGAGGTTCTAGTTTTCCTGTAAGAAGTTCTAGCAGCCATCGAGGACTTTCTAGTGTTCCTGTTGGAGGTCCTAGTGGTCACTATGAGTTTGGAGTGGTCTTTTTCAGGTTTCTAGTGGTCATTGAGGAGGTTCTTGTGTTTCTTTAGGAGGTTCTCGTGGCCACAGAGGTTGGCCTGTCACGATAACTTCTTTTGTTGGATGATATATTTTCCCAGCAGTGATATCATTGTCATGTTAGCACCACCGTGTGGCCGCTCATTAATGATTTTACATTTAGGTTAATAACTCGCTGTTCATCTGCGTAAAACAGCGCCGTGTATGCTGCTGCAAGTACATGGTTCTGGTGGAACATGAAGGTTTTTTCAACAGGACTTGTGTGAGAATAAAAATATATTTACTGAAAGTGTGTGTGTGGTTCTCAGGTGATGGGCGGTCCAGACGGCGACATGTTTAACTACTATAAGATGTTGATGCTTCAGGGTCTGATCGCAGCCAGGAAACACATGGACCGGGTCCTGCAGATAGTGGAGATCATGCAGCAAGGTGAGGACGCACACACACACACACACACACACACAGACTGGCGTTACCATGACCGTACTGCCGCCCCCCCCGCCAGGTACCCAGCTGCCCTGCTTCCACGGGTCCAGCACCATGCGGGGCCTGAAGGAGCGGTTCCACATGAGTCTGACGGAGGAACAGCTGCAGCTGCTGGTGGACCAGCTGGTGGACGGGTCCATGAGGTCTCTCACCACCAAACTTTACGACGGCTTCCAGTACTTCACCAACGGCATCATGTGACCCGGCGGCGGCGTGTGTGTGCGTGTGTGTGTGTGTGTGAGTGTGAATGGAGACTGATGATCCTCCTGCTCTCAGAAGTCGGCGGCAGAGACGATGAGCCTCCTCTGTCCTCCTCTCCGTCTGTCTCTCGTTGTCTTTTTGTTGAAAGAACTTTCTTTGTCTCGTTTGGTTCCAGCTCTTTTTCTTGTTTTTCCATATTTGGGCAGATGTCCCTGATTGGCTGCTCAGCCGGACTCTTGGCCAATCAGAGGAGCAGCCCAGTTTTAGTTTGACATGTGAATAGGTGGACAGTTTTTACAGGTAGAACCTGAAGGAAACGAGTCGGCGTCCAGAAGCTGGAGCCGCGGACTGAAGGACCACTCCGGAGCTTCTCATGTTTTAACTAACTGACTGGAACCAGTTTGTCCTCTGACCCATTAAACTAACCAGTGTCCACCTGCAGGTCCAGCTTCATGTGGTTCATGTGTCTTTACCTCCGACGTTTAAACTGATCAGCAGAGTAGAACTAGTGTTGTACTGCTGGAGTGAAAACTGCGCTCAGAGGAAAGTCCTGTTGTTTGGTTCTGTTACTGAGCTGGTCTGGTTCTTCTGAAGTCCTGTCAGGTTCTCAGGGTTTTAAAACACATCATACTCATAAGATTATTTTTAGATGTTTCAAACCTTTAAGGCTTCAGCGTTTCTTCCAACATTTAGAGGTTCATGTGGGAAAACAACATGAAGGACTACAGAACCCAGCGGCCGGTCCGATCAGGACTACAGAACCCAGCGGCCGGTCCGATCAGGACTACAGAACCCAGCGGCCGGTCTGATCCTGTTGGTGTTTCACAGATTTGTTACGAAGTCTTTATTTTTCATGCTGCGTATTCTTTTTCTTCTTCTGTACGACTGAGTCTCTGCTGCTCTCTCATCATCCAGTTTCCACATAAAGTGCGTCCTACAGGTGCTGAAGTCGTCCTACCTGGTCCTCAGGGGCCCCGTGCAGGTGTGCTCAACATATTAAAGCATGGATTCAGTAGCGGGGGGGTTCTCTGACCAACACGAAGTATTTGCTGGCCCCCAGGTGCTGCTGCTTCACGTTGTAGCCGTGCACCAGGGGCGAGTTCAGCGCCGACACAACGTTGCAAAACGTTTGGGATTGAACTCACCCCTGGTGTCATTGGGTGAAAGAGACCTCGTGTTCTGGTGTTACTGTAGCGCCCCCTGCAGGTAGGACTATTAAATGTCATCAGGCCACGCCTACAAACGTCTGGTTACCAATGACGGAACAGGAAGTGATACCAACCAAGTCGTTTAGTTTGGGGTCATCTAAATGTGGTTGGTCATACGAAGCAAAAACTGTTTCAGCACAGCGAGACAGCGCCGCCATGTGGTGTGACAAACGGTAAATACCATCATAATGGTGAAGCACTGGTCTGTGTACCCACCAGCTGCGTGGCCCCGGTACTCTTCTCTAAGCCGAGCACACAGAACAAGATGCATTAAAAATTAATAAGAAATAAATCATTTAATATTTAATGAAAATTCATCAAATACCGCAGGCCTGACTAAAAGCTTTACTGAAGAGAAAAGTTTCTCGCCTACTCTTCAAAATGGAAATGTTTGGTTGCTTCCTGAACCCAGACAGGGGCCTGACTCCTGACCCCCGGCACCAGCAGCAGCCGTGCATTCTGGGAGCTGTGGTGGGGCAGCAGGGTGTGAGGAGTTCTTTCATATAGGATGGTGCCTGACCGCCCACGAGCCGTGTACTTTAACGTGAATCTGTCCTGTTAAACATCTCTGTCCTCCTGCAGAGCTGCTTCATTTCAGCTTCTATAAAGTTTGATGTGTTTCTGTGTTAACGTAGAAGAAGTTCCTCAGGTTCTCTGTCCAAACCGCACGTTACTGTCACGATACACAGCGAGGTACAGTGAGCCAGGTGGGGGTTCAGGTGTGGCCCTGTACATTAATATGGAAATATTTTTAAATCCAATATAATCATTAAATATGTATTTAAAAGGAATAAATCATCAAACAGCAGGACAGGAAGATGGCTGAAACTGAGGAAACTGAGTCCTGGAGAAACCAGATCAGTTTGTGTTTCTGATCCTGGTTCCTCAATCAAGTTACCTGACAGGTAATATTTAGTTTACACACTCACTTCAACCTGTAAATAAATATTTAGTTTTAGTCCTTTAAAACACAAACTGTCGATAATCGATGGAACTTTATTAATCAGGCAGCTGATGGAAACAAACATGTTTGTTCTTACAGATAAAATAAAGAGATGTTCAAAGTAAAAATCCATAAAATAAAGATCAATGATTGTTGATCACTTCCTGTCCAGCTGAGAGCGCGTGATCCTGATGGTGGACACGCGGGAGCAGCAGCTCCGTGTCAGCACTACATTACCCAGAGTTCCGCAGGGCGGGAGGAGGCGGGGCTTTACCTGCCCACACCTGCAGAGAGTTGAGAGACTGAAGGAAGAAAAACTGACAGAAACCGGAGCGGGAAGAAAATGTTGGTCCGACCCACACAGTCCGTCTGAGTCACCGAGCCGAACCCACCTGATCCGGACTGAGCCGATCCGGGTTTAGTCCGAGTCCACCTGTATCCCGGATCCACCTGAGACTCCCTGAAGATTTCTCAACATTTACTGAAGCAGGAAGTGAGACAGGAGCCGCAGACATGGTGAGTTTCTCTTAGTACTCCAAACCTCCAGAACGGGTCAGAACTTTAAGGCAGCAGAGAAGCACACTCCGGTCCCGGTGCTGGATCGGGCCAGGTCGTGGTCCCGCAGGGTTCTGGTTTACTGTGAAACTCCCGCAGGAACAGATCTCTGATCAGATCTCTGTTTGTTTTTAACTGAAACTTCCTGAAGTTTGTTTTTGACTTTTTCAAAGAAACAAAGTCAAAGAGAACTTCAGAAATCCTTAATAATCATCAATGATCACTCATCAATAATCAGGGATTAATAATCAATCAGCACTTTGGAAAACGGAATCAATCAGTGAATTAAATCTAAGAAATCTCTAAATACCAAAAGGAAACAAAGTGAATTAAATTAATCAAAAAGACAAAAACAGAAATAAAAAAGATAAGAAACATGTTAAAGTCAAAATGTACAAACAAATAAATAAATAAACAAATTACAATTAAATTAAGAAAAAACAAATAATTCAGATGTATAGCTACCATGGAAACCCTCAGTGACAGCGAGGTTCCTGCAGAACGTTCTGTCTGTTTAGATCATGATGATTTACTTTATGGTGATGTTCAGTGTGAAGGCCGGATTATGGCCCCCGGGCTCCTGAGGGGCCACACAAATGTACTAAACTAAACTCTGTGGCCTCTTAAAGAGACATTTTCAAATCTGAATCATTAGTTTGTTCACAGTGTAATAAAGTACTACAATAGTACTAGAGTAGTACTCTGCAGGACTGACAGTACATGAACACTGCACAGGGAGCAGAGGTGTGTTTTCTAGGTGGGGCATCAACAGGGGCCCTAAACAAAAAGAGATCTGCGTTAAAGCTGCAGCTGATGATCGAGTGATCGACGAATCGTTCAGGAGACAAAGTGATTTATTGACGACTTGTTGCAGCTCAGAATGTTTCATCCTGTCGTTTATTTATCACACACACACACACACACACACACACACACACACACACACACACACACACACACACACAGCTGACTGGTCTGATCTGATCTCCCTCCTGAATTCCCAGCATTCCTCAGTCCTGTGGGATCTTGTTTAGGAGCGACGCCTCGACACGCAGCGCTGTGTGTGTCTGTGTGTCTGTGTGTGTCTGTGTGTGTGGAGAAATACTCTGTTCAAAATTACTTAGGTATTAAAGTATTAGCATCAAAATACCCTAAAAGTAAAATATTAAGTATTTATTTGCATATTTTTTTGGATTGTAATTATTGTCATGAAGATGGCCTCTGCGCTGCGTTTTGAGTTCAACGAAACAAATTTAATTCCCACTTTTCTCACGTCGTCAGTGGAACTATTTGTTCATGCAGCAAAGCGCCTGAGGAGCAGGAAACGTGCCGCGGCGCTCGTGCGTCTCCGTCGGCGTGGACTCCGTACACCGCTGCCGGGAATATTTCTCTCCAACCTGCTCTCACTGTGCAACAAACCAGTGGGGAAAAACAGAGACAGTAAAATGTCCGACCAGAGAGGATTCTGGATCACAGCTGCACCACAATAAGCAGAGACTAGAGACACGCGATGGTCCACCTGATTCCTGCAGGCAGAAACTCTGTAAACCTGCAGTGAGGACTTCACAGCAGTGGACCAGTGAGGCTTTAGAGGACCTTCAGGCGGGATTTGGACTGAGACGTGGCTGTGACGTCCTACATCAGCTTCTGTGAGGACAGACCCCGGTTCACCACAGACTCTGGTTCGCTAAGGCAGATCCCGGTTCACAGCTAAGGATGGAGGAGGGGCCGGTGTTTAGAAGTGGAGACCAGACCAGAATGGCTGTACCCGGCCAGCGACTCTGCTTCTGTCTGGAGGGGCTCAGACAGACCACCAACTACAAACCCAAAGCCTCCCACCCCATTAATGACTCTCACCTGGCCAACGTGCTGAACCAGTTCTACTGTTGCTTTGAATGACAATGGGACAGACATGACTCCATCCCCCGTGACTCCATTGATCAGCAGCAGTTCACCTCCCCAACCTCGGCAGGGTCCAGAAGCCTTCAACAACTCCCCACCCCAGAGTCTGTCTCCATTCTCGGGAGGGGCCTCAACTGTTCAGGAGGCAGAACTCTCGCCAAGCAGTTGGGCCGGACTCTGTCTCACCATCCACCCTGAACCAGTCTCTAGTCAGCACTGTGGAGTCCTTCTACTTCCTGGGCACCATTATCTCTCAGGACCTGAACATCACCTCCCTCACCAAGAAGGTCCAGCAGAGGATGTACTTCATGCTACGGCTGCAGAAGTTCAACCAGCTAAAGTCAGTTATAGTGGACTTCTACACCGCCATCACCATCTGGTACGCTGCTGCCAGGGACAAGGTCAGGGTGCAATCTACCATCCCTCAGGACCTGTACGCCTCCACAAACTGATCTGGTATAAATTTATACTTTAAGCAATAATAAATCAGGTGTTTAAATGTGGAGGACAGAAACCAGGTACAGAGCTGAGATCTGGTTCTTCCAGTCTGTATCAAAAAAAACAAAACAAAAGTAAGTATGTTGTAAGTATATTTCAGATGTAAACACGAGGGATATAACATGGCAAGAAACTTCTGTTTCTACACCAATAAGATCTGAAAGTTCATTAGTGAGCTTTTGTTGATTCTGGAGTAAAAAGGAAGAAAACAGTTAAGGAAGGAATTAAAGACAGAGTTTTATTTTTATTACACAGAAAGAAATGACTGCATCATCTGCATATAGGTTAAAGCACAATCCAATATTGATCAGTTCTTGTTGTCTTCAGGGACCTGGTCTTCAGACGTGGTTTAACTAATCCAGACTAACAAATTGTTTTTAGGCTCAAAAAGTCTTCTTATCCAGGTGATTTATTACAAATAAATATTATTATTATTATTATTATTATTATTTCCGTCACAAGTTCATCTTTGAAAAAACAGAACGCTCTTATTTTGAAATTAAAGCTGAGTGCTGATCATGTGATTGGCTGACGTGTTACTATGGTTACAGTCATGACTCCAGGTGAGCTACATTCAGAGGTGATGATCCAGTCCTGACCCTCTCTGTCTTTATGCCCCGCCCCCTCAGGGTAGTAAGGAGCGATACCATTGGCAGGCTCAGAACGTGAAGGTGAGCGGGGTGGACGACATGGTGCTGCTGTCCAAGATCAACGAGGACGCCATCACAGACAACCTGAAGAAGAGATTCATGGACGACTTCATCTTTGTATCCTTATACAGTACTAGAGAAAGTACTCAGAAGTTTTATATACTGCATTAAAAATGTTTAAGTAAAAGTACAAAAGTATTAGCATCAAAGTTTAGTTAAAGTAAAAGTACTCCTTTGTACAAACTCGTTATAAATATTTACACCCACTGACTGTAGGTGGTGCTGTTGTTACTGTGACTTCCTGTTTCCACAGACGGTTGCTCCTGATTGGCCAGGGCTGCAGGTGTTTCCTGGCAGCAGTTTCAGTTTTTACTGTTCGACCTGATTCAGTGGATCCAGTTAGTCGTTACTGAGAGCTCAGGGAGACTAAAGGGCTCATGAGGAGCTGCAGCAGCTCAGAGTTCTGGAACTGGTGGTTCTGATGGTGGTGGTTCTAGTTGTGGTCCTTGACCTGGTTCTTCCTTTTCAGACCTACATCGGGTCCGTTCTGATCTCTGTGAATCCTTTCAAACAGCTTCCATATTTCACTGACAGAGAGGTGGAGCTCTACCAGGGAGCGGTGAGACACACACTGGATGACCTTAATCTAAAGTAACCTGACCCTAACCATGGTTCCAATTATTGGGGGGCTTGGACCCCCCAGAAGAGGCAACAGTTCAGGGGTCTTTCTTACCTGCCACTGTAATATTACAATATATTTCCTGTACTCTTGCCTTATATTCAAGAATGTTAATATTAAAATTAAATATTAAAAAAGGACCGTACCGTTTCCTAACCTTGATGACCGTCTGTCTGCCCGCATCGCTCGCAGGCAGCTGCTCCGTTCAGTCCACCACACTAATGCAGGTTAATGTCAGCAGTTAGCTGCCTAGCTTCTTTAATACACTTCACTTTCCCACCTTCAGAGCATTTCTTTTACTGAAAATGAGCTGGGTGATGTTAGCTAGCTGAGAGCCCACCCTCTCATTTCATTACCACTATTTAATTTGTCAGCCAACACTGGTGCTCAGGCGAGAGCAGTGAAACTGAGGATTAGTTATTGTAGATACACATTTTGACATCAATACAGAGTTTATTGTAAGTCTTTTGGGAGTCTTTGGTTCTGTAAGTCTTTCTACAACAAGCATGATGTTTGTTTTCACTCTGGAATTCAGGAGTTTTACCTGCCCAGGTAAATGTTAAAATGGAGCCGGTGTAGACCGTCTCTGTTTAATATTATTTACAGAGACCCACAAACTCCCCAACAGTGTAACATGTAGAGCCTCCTGCTCTACTGAACCCAGATTACATTTCACTCACAGTCAACGTGAGCAGGAGGGAAGGAGCGATTCGCTAAGAAACAGTTACAACTTCAACTGTTGAAATGATAAGACTTAGGAATTACAGAAAATGCAGACTGCATCGTAACACGTATGTAATGTATTGATATGTTTCCCCTCTTCTCCTCCCAGGCTCAGTACGAGAACCCCCCCCACATCTACGCGCTGGCCGACACCATGTACAGAAACATGATGATTGACAACGAGAACCAGTGTGTCATCATCAGGTAGGCGGGGCTTTGTCTTGCTTCGGTCTTCAGTGTTTCTCTACAAGATTAAACATTCGTAAATAATCAAACACCTGTAGATATGAATTATTATCAGAGGCTGGACGAGCAGGAAGTGAGGTCAGCAGGTAACTTCAGGGTTTCAGACCCACGAGGGCGGTTCACTTCTGAGTGCTGAGCGGCTAACCTGTTCCAGAGCCCCGCCTACTGACCAATCAGCTCTCTTGGAAGATGACATCAGCATCTGTAGGAGATCCCGTAGACAGTTTTCTACTTCCTGTTTGTCTCAGATTACAGTTTGTAAAATCTGCCGCTCTGCTGCCAGCAGACTGTCCTCGTCTGTGATTGGCCGTCTGTGACGTGAACACGCTCTTGGCTGAATTATTGATAACCAGCGTCATGTGACTGCTGAGCCTGATTGATCGTTGGAGAAGGTGAACTTCGCAGTACAGGCGTCTGATATCAAACCTGAGCCCCGCCCACTTCAGAGAGCTCAGAGGAAAAACTGACAACTCGTCTGTTGACGTTTCAGTTGGTTCATTTCATCGCTGTGCGTCTCGCTTATAAACAATCGCTGTGTCCGAAATCCCCGCTCATCCGCTCCTCGCCACCCCCCCGTAGGGAGCTGTATGTAGAGCACTACACAGTGAGCTCCTCGCATTATTAAAACAACACTTTCGGACACCACTCCGATCTTTATTTTGGCACTCTTAATTACATCAGTGCCTTTGGACAATCAGTTTTTTCTATCAGTGCAATGCATGATGGTATATACGACTTGATTAGTGACCGTCGGTTGTACACTGCTTTCCAAAATGCATTCTGGGATACATTGAGTGGGCTACGGGTGAGTTGAGACACATGGTGCGTTCCATTTGACATGGGAAGTCGGAATTTCCGAGTTCCCAGTTGGAACTTTCAACTTGAAAGCCCCCTGAAGTCGGATTTCCGACTCGGGAAGTCGGGAGAACCGCACTACCCCGACTTCGTGATCCAAGATGGCTGCCGGGGTATCAACAGTTAGAGATTAGCACGTCTGTGTACTTGTGACTTGTGACAGCTGTCTGTGGACGTGTTGCTACAGTCTTTAGTGTGAGTAAATACCACACAATGCGTTTTTTAATCAACTGATATCAATAGCTAACCTGGCTAGTTGTAAACAAACAGCTGGTCAGGTTTTCCAACTTGTTAACTGGAACGCCGTAAACTCGGGTGTGACATCATTCCCAGCTCCGACCTCCGACTTCCGAGGTAAATGGACCACGGTAACAGCCTGTATCTGTAACTTAATGTGCACTGTCCCTTTTAAATAAACCAACACACGAACAGATCAGTCATTCTCAGGAAGAAGTTGTTTGTTTAATACTGACGAGCTCGTAGAGGACGACCGGTGAACAGGTTTTTAACTTTATAAAGTTGTAATAATCTGTTTCCTGTCGGTCAGCGGTGAGAGCGGAGCTGGAAAACAGTCGCTGCCAAATACATCATGAGCTACGTGTCCAAAGTGTCCGGAGGTGGAGACAAAGTCCAGGTCAGTACACAGAGGACCACAGAGGTACTTTAGGTGTTGGAATCCGAGTCAGAATGAAATATTTGGATCAATACTTCACTGTTACCGTTGTTACTGCTGCTGATGCTGGTGTGTGTTTGTGCGCAGCATGTTTAAAGACATCATCCTGCAGTCCAATCCGCTGCTGGAGGCTTTCGGAAATGCCAAGACCGTCCGCAACAACAACTCCAGCAGATTTGTGAGAATAAATATACTTTCTAAAGTGGATCACCTGAGAATTCTTGTTTCACAGACTGACCCGACGTCCTGGTTCTGACAGACCTGGCTTACACAGAGTAGCCATGATTCTGAGGTTTCCCTACAGAACTATAAGCTGGAACAGGCTCTGCAGTTTAAAATACCTTCTTGCTTTGCTGCTGAAGATGCTCTCTTTACTCTGAAAGTAGTCCTGAAGAACCAAATAGAACCGAGGACTGCATGTTCCCCCTGAAGTTTAAATATCTGCATCAGAAAGCTCGCTTTAAAGATTTTCTTTAAACATTACACTATAGTACTACATATAGTACATGTACACACTGTGCTCCTCCTGTCAGGGTAAATACTTCGAGATCCAGTTCAGTCGAGGAGGCGCTCCTGATGGAGGGAAAATCTCCAACTTCCTGTTGGAGAAGAGTCGAGTCGTTTCACAGAATCCTGGAGAGAGAAGCTTCCACATCTACTACCAGGTACTGCAAATATACTGCCAATTATACTACAGGTAATAAACGCACCTGACCTCTGTGACCTTTGACCTCTGTCCTCAGCTGTTGGGAGGGGCGACTGCAGAGCAGAGGAGAACCTCGGGGTCACGACCCCCGACTACTATTACTACCTCAACCATCAGGAACTTACACTGTGGAGGACATGAACGACAAGAAGGAGTTCTCTGAT